TATGTGTGTGTGTATGTAGGTATGTGTGTATGTTCTTTGCTAGTGTATATATATGTGTGTGTGCCCTTTGCTTGTGTGTGTGAGAGACAGCGAGAGAGCGAGCGTGTGTGTTCATCAGTATTGTTGTTCAGGATTTGGTTGGTACTGTTTCTCCCCCTGATTTTATGTCCAGGTCGGTACCGTTCCTTTCTGGCTATAGCATTTTTTGGAGGTATAAATGGGCAGCAGCTTCCAATAGGAAACACATCCTTGGATTCTGCAGAGGAAAATATGAACTAAACCAAAACGAAAAAAAAAGTCCTTAGCCTGATCCAAAACTGGGTTTTGATTAGGAAATAATTGAAAGATATTGGCAGGTTAAAAGAGGTCGGCTGGGGTGTGGGGAGGGGAGCGGGAATATCCTGCATAGGAATTTTGCCATAAAACCAACGCTCAGCCTTGCTAGGTCGAGAGCATTTCGGTCGGGAGCTCTCTCCGCCAAGCGATGTCGGCAGCATTTTGGAAGAGCTAAATCTCTCTCTCCCCCTCTCTATATAAAGAAAAATCGTGTTCTTGTCGATGTACAAAAAAGAAATAAATAAAATAAAAATGGATGTGACCTTTGGAAGCTGTGGGTGGAATTTGCAAACGGCTGGTTGCTGGCCCCTTTGGAAAGGCGGTTTTCTGCGAGCTAGGTTTGCTCTGGCGTTGTGCTGTCTATCCGGCAGGAGCGGTCACTCCCACTCCGGCCCGATCCAAGAGCCGGGGCATCCTTGGGACCCCAGACCGCTGCCTCTCCCGGGGTGGGGATGGAGACGACGGCGGGGCAGGTCTCGCCAGGGGTGGTGTTCCCCCCGCTGTGTGCGCGCCTGTGTTTTATCTCGGGATCTTCAGCATTGTTGCTGGAGGCAGAGAAGGTCCCGGGACCGGGCAGTGGCGCATCGGTGGCAGGGGATTGCTCCTGTCCAGCTGTCGCGGGCTAGCCTGCGGGGTGCGTGTGCCGAGAAGGGGCTGGGGGCGAAAGCTGGAGAGGCCGGGGCAAGCTGGAAGGAGACGGGCAGCAGGAAGGCGGGCGGGGAAGGAGCGATCCCCCCTGCCTGGGGCACGCGAGAAAATCCCCGCTTCCCTCCTGGGGAGACAGGCGTGGGCAGGCCTAGGGCCCGGGTCTCCGGGGGCAGCTTGCTCCAGGCCGGATCCTAAAGGCAGGACTGGGGCTGCGCCCTGGGGTTTGCTGCTTTTGGGGGTGGGGGGATTGGGCTTCCCCATGCCCCCCGTCCGTCTTTGCCTTGTTGCGCCTCAGTGTCTGGCGCCCCAGATGTGCGGGCAGGAGCTGGGGTGGGGAGGGGGGTCCTAAGCCAGGTTAGTGAGGAAGCAAATGGGGCGGGGGGAGGCAGCCCTGGGATCGGGGCGGTTTTTGCTGGGCAAGGGGAGCACCTGCAACCAGCCCCAGACGCGTTTGCAGGGATCTCCCGGGTAGGACCCCCCCTCCCCCCCGGCTCTGAAACTGACGGGGGGGGGGGGGCGGG